GCCTGGACTAACAAAGGCACATTAGTATTAGTGGCAAGGAGTACCACAGTTGGTGCTAATAATCGTAAAGATGTATGGAATTATATAGAACAACAAATCTTTGTTTCTACTGCCATTTACTGTAAGCCATAACTGGCGGATATGCCAAAAATACTATGTAAGTATTAATGTTTCAAAAATAGAATGCGATTTTTGCAATTTTACATATTTGGGTAGAAATCCACCGAAGTGAAGTGAAGTGGCACTTAATAAAAACTGATGAAAACTGCTACACTATTTTAGAGTATTTTACTGCAAATAGATATAATATATCATGAATATCTTTTACCTGAGCGGTAGTGTTGTTAGAGTAGACAAATGATAATTTAAAGTCATTTTAATATGATACCTAGTAAAACTATTAATTCAATTTTATTCCATCGGTAATATACGCCATAACTTTTAATAAAACACAATACGTATGTCCATTCATGCCAATAGATATTCCCAGAATAAAAATACTAAAATAAGATAAAAGATGATATTCAAATTAAATACCTTTGACATTTTAAGATTACGAACGTCACCGATACGAACGAGGAGGACTGGATGTGAAGGTTGACGGAAAGACTAGTATGGCTTCAAGAATAATACAAAATATTCATGTTTCTAAGTGTTAATATGCAGACAAAGAACAACATTACACTTATTACATTAGGAAATATCTATAGACAAAGTTTTGTAATTCTTTATGTTTCTTCAAAAGAAACAAATAGACTGATGAATTTCTTGGGATACAATAATTGTACATGTTTCTCTATTACATTCTAAGCAAATGGTGTAAAGCTTTTCTGATTACTAAACACAATAAGAGATATACATTTGGTATATATTGTATTACTTGACTTACTTATCGTCTCAAATTTAATTAATACATAAAGGTATACATTGAAATGGTTCGGAATTATTATTCATAATTTTGTAATATTAAATAACTTTTAATTATTATATCTGAAATATATATCGTGAGTATGCGTAGGTATATTTTATTGTAATATTAATACGCGAAGTGGAAACTTTATACTGCTTTATACGAAAATTATGCTAATAGAGGAGTATATAATTTAACACTGGTAAATTCTATATGAACAAAGAATGCAGAAGATTTAATATATTTTTTATTAATAATTCCTAAAAATATGTTACGGTAATGAAGAAAGTTTACGCTTGACAAACACATGCGTTTATTTTTTTTACAATAGAAGGAAGAAATTAACGCCTATAATTTAAATAAACTATGTTTGAATTTTGACCACTGGGCGATCAATAGTATTTATATGGATTCCACCACATCCTTATAATACTGACGTTATTACATACAACTTATCACAGCAATGCACTTACGATCTCGCTGTCTCTGACATTCGTGCTATCTTTATCCAATTTGTTACCCTTATCAAGAATTAAATGCGTTTTAGGCTCTTCGTTGGCCTGTTTTTATTTTTTATTAATTACGAGACATAGAAAGCGCCGACAACAACGCAAGTGGACAGGTGATAGCGTTTTATGATACCCATTTATCGAATATACATTTGTTACCCAATGAATATTCGACAGACGACGAATAGATCCATGTTCAAATAAATTACCTGGCTCTGATGAACTTTGTGTAATAAATAATTTTATGGCAGATGCCAGATATAATTTGAATTTATATTAAAAAATATTCCTTTTTTGTAAGTTAAAGATTTTGTCATAAAAAAGTGATCAATCGTAATGAAATCAATGTGGAAATAACACGAGAGCAAACTCTATCTATTGCAAGAATCATAAAGTTGTTAAGATTTAGCTAAAATATCCTGTACGACATGTCAAATTGAAATTTGAGTTTATAAACAAAATTATTTAAGTCGTAATCCCAAATTATATGAATGGAAAGCTTGTGGAATAACTTTGTTGTCAAACTGTCCGTCCAATAAAAAACTTTTTTCTCTAGAATGGCTAAATTATGGTTTGGCGGTTTATAGTCCCGTAGTAAAAAGTAAAGTAGCCAATTTAAAATAAAAAAAAGTCTTTACTCTTCCTATAATCTTCGTAATATGTAATAATGCGAAGCAATAAATAAGATTTTGACACCTTTCTATCTATGTATAAGCTTAAATATATTTTTCATGTAAAGGTGAAAAGAAAAATCTAAACTAATTAAAAAAACTGCTTTTTTCATAAATTTACACTATTAGTGTCTATATAAATACATAAATTAAGGCTTTATTATTAATCTAAACGACTTGGCAGACAATAAAAACATTGTCACAATGTGATATTGCGGTTATATCTACTGTAGTAAGGGAAAACAGATATGAACAAACACGAATATTATTTTTCCCGTTTTAATCAAGCCTTACGAACTAGACTGGGAGAACTCGAAACAAACATCATAAAAATAACCGTTGATGAGATGTAGCCACGTGCGCACGAAAGCCATACAAGACCGTCTGTACTGTAAGTACAACTTTGTAGGTTACACAGACTTGAGAAAATAATGTTATTAACACATTTTTTTTTATGTAATTGGAATAGCAAATAAATTAACGTCCCACCTTATGGTAAGTTCTTGTTCATGTTGTACAGTACTGCGGGCATCACCTCATCTTGTGATATTTACAGTACTACCTATTCCAAAATACCAAGATATTATGTCTCTTCTCCTTAATTTTACTGCCTAATCAAACCCTACAATTAAAACACAGCTTACAAAGCAAGATGGTTTGCAGCTGAAATTAATAAGACTGAGCTATATCCAAGCAAACAACTTTTTAGAGCCTACCTCTGGTAAATTAAATGTGAAAATAATACTTGATAGTGATCAGCTTAATTATTTACTATTGTATTTCGAAAGGACTCATTATATAAATTTGTATGTAAATATATATATATATATAAATATTGAAAATTGGTTAAAGTAAATGTCGTAATTCTTCAACGATGATTATCCTTATAATATTCTATGTTATTTTATGTCAAACAAAAAATACACTATATTCTGTAAACAAAATGGGTAATGCAATATTCATAAAGATAAACCCTTGGAAAATAAACACGCCTACTGTCGTAAACTGTTGTATTTTACAACTCATATTATGCCATATGATATTAAATATTCACCCTTGTTATAAAACTGTTAAATTAAATCATAAACACTAACAGCAGTGAAAAAGGAATTGTAAACCACTTCTTTAGTTAGCAAGTATAGAAATATTGGAGAAATATTTTTTTTATAAAATTAATTATTAGCTTTTAAAACAACTTTAAATATTTAAATATGTTCTTATTCTGAGCAACCTTAATTATTTTTAATTAAGGTCGTTCAGAATAAAATTATTTTTTAGACTTACTATCTTATTAGCACTATACTAATTTAATTGCTGTTGAAGTCAATTCTATTATATAATTAATATTACGACCAGATACATATATATATATATATATATATCGTAGTAATTTCAAAAGTTCCATATAGATCGGCTTTGTTTGTCCAGTTTGGTGTCTCAATAAGTAAAACATATGGGTTTTACTTGTTAAGACACCAAACTAAATAATAAAAACTATAAACAGAACACTTTAAAAAAAAAATACCTACGCTAACATTGTTTGCAAATAAAATGTATTTAATTTTTACTCTGGTTATATAATATGTCCTAGTTATGAGCGCGAAGTCGGGGTCAAAAGGCCGTTATTGAATAATTCTCCTTATTTGTTCTCAAGCTTCAACCAATCAATTAAACTAATTACTTATATTAATTGATTGGTGTAATCTTGAGAATGTTTACTACCTGATGTTTAGACTGAAATACGTACATATTGAATTCTATTACGGAGAATTTTAGAAAACATTTATTTCTGAATGAGAGGTAGAGGGCAAAGGGGTCGAAACCTAGCATGAAAATAATTTTAATAAAGTATAAACCCTTTGTCTAGATTCTTGGGAAAGCTTTTAACAATATGAAACTGATATTAGTACTGATGAATATTATAATAATAAAATTAATAATATCTGTATCTCATCTCAATAGAATACATTTTACAGTTATGAATATATAAATTTTCTTTAGTATCCATTGTTTCATTTTTATTGCTTTACTATATTTTATTACAATATAAATATTTTTAATAATCTACTGAAAAAGTTGGTTTAACGGTTTATTACACCGCCTTATATCTAACGGTTCGATTCCATGTACGCATGTGATACCCCAGGTGTTTCAGGTGTCCATAGGCTACGGTATTATTATGGTACGGTATACGGCTACCATTTACCATCAGATGGGCCGTATGCTTGTTTGCCAGCATCGTAGTATAAAAAACATACAATGTATTAAAGTTAGGGAATTACATTTACTGTTTCTAATATATTATTATTTTCTCAAATATTTAATATATTATAAACATCATCGTCTCTTGCGACACACAAGGTAATTGCGCAGAGAACTTTACATAGAGTCTACCTCAATTTAACATACAGTATAGTCACAGTACGTATGTTTATAATCCGTAAAAGGTGTCGAAAAATGTGTACTGTGTTATTATTTTACAAAAAACCTCATAATGTCAAACCAAGTTACTTACACCTTAATGGATTCCTCTTCGCCAAAAGACAGTTTCCGCGTCACTTAATTTTATTTCCGTAATCGATATTTTTTACTAGAAATCAGGAGTGCGTCACTCCGAATTTTGTGACACTTATGATATAGGGTGTCATTCTGTTGTCGGTAAGAAACCCCTATAGCAATAGCTTTTGCCCTTAAAAGTATTCAAGGTTTTGTATTACGACAAATAGCTTTCATCCTCTCAAGTACAGTTAGCGTTTCAAAACATTTGAAATACAAGCTGTTATTCACAATTTTGTTTTCGCGTTAATTGGAATAAATGTTTTATGCGTATATCTTGTACTAAATTGAATTCAGATCAATCTAGCTATTTTAGCGGGATTAAGTATCTAACATACTGATTGAAATGACCCTTCCTTTCCTCTCGGTATCGTTTATTATTTTTATATTTTATAATTTTGTTACAATGGTACAAACTATGATGTTGCGTTTATTTGAATTGTGTCGAAGTGAAGCCGTTTGTTGCCAACATCACGCCGTTAACTTTATTTGCGCCCAGTCGTCAATAGATGGCGCGAACATACCGCCCGCCTTGGAAGCCGCTGCTTTCAATTCATTATTGAAATATATATCAATTATCAGAATTTGTCGTATAGGTTGTAGACGATGTTGTAGGAGCTGATGATTTATTTTCATCAGTAGATAGTGGCAGCGGGCAAATTTTTGTAAATGCACGCTGTATTTGGCCAGTCGCCGTGCGAATGTCAGCAACTCGTGAGATTCCGTCTTTGCCTGGATAAACTCGTATAATCCTTCCCAAACGCCATTTAAGAGGGGGTTGATTATCTTCCTTCACTAAGATAAGAGTTCCCAATTTTATATCGCCTTTATTTTCTTTCCATTTGATTCTGTTCTGTAGCTGTGTCACATACTCCGTCGACCACCTTCTCCAGAAATGTTGTCTCATCTGTTCCACCCGGTTGTATCGAATGAGTTGACTGCTCTGCGTGTTGGTGAAGTCGTGGCAAGCAGGAGCGGTCAGAGGTCGGCCGATGAGGAAATGAGCAGGAGTTAAAGGTGAATAATCGGCGGGATCTGTGAACATGGCTGAGAGGGGACGGGAGTTCAGGACGGCCTCTATTTGTGTCAATACCGTGCTGAACTCCTCATGATTTAAATTAGCATTGCCTACTATTCGTCTAAGGTGATTCTTACACAATTTGACGCAAATTTCCCAACAACCCCCGAAATGAGGTGCATATTGAGGGATGAAGGTGAAGTTTATACTATAATTAGCCAAGAAATCATTTATCGTATTTAATCCGTTTTGTAAGATTGAAGAAAATTTTCTCTCAGCACCCACAAAATTTTTCCCGTTATCGGAAAATATTTCCGCTGGCTTTCCACGTCGGGAAATAAAACGTTTTAATGCTAAAATATAATCGCTTGTAGATAAACCAGTTACTAATTCCAAATGAATGCATCGCGTAGCAAGACATGTAAATAAACAAATATAACCTTTAATTAATTTAGCACCCCTACCTTTACGATTTAATATGAAAACTGGTCCAGCATAATCTACTCCCGTGCGCATGAAAGGAAAACTAGCCTCCAGACGCTCTGCGGGTAAATTCCCCATTATCGGCTTCCAAGTTTTACCTCTCATACGAACACAAGTCACGCATTGATGTACTGTTCTCCTAGCGAGATTTCTACCAGCCAGCGGCCACCAACTCTCTCGTATAGTGCACAGCAGGAGCTGAGGTCCAGCGTGAAGTAAATTCTTATGTTCCTGTTCGAATAATAAAATTGTATATCTACTTTTACTACACAACAAAATCGGATGAATTTTATTATAGGTAAAATTAGAATTATTAAGTCTCCCGCCAACCCTAATTAATTTATTATTATCTAAAAATACGTTTAAACCTAAAACCTTATTCATTTCTTTACAACTTTTTATAGGAATCGCATTAACTAAACTATTATATAAGGACGGGAATGAATGCATTTGTGCAATCCTCGATAACACCTGTACGGATGACGTTAGTTCATCAGCTGTGAGAGAACCGGTTTTACGTTGTTGTTTACTCCGAATATTGTGAATGAACCTAAGCACATACGCTCCCGTTCGCTTTAATTTGTTAAATGTCGAAAACCTAGTAAAATCTATGATTATTTCCGAATTTATGCAAACTGTATTTATCGTTTTATTTTTCAATTCAGGTAAATCATTTGAAATACTTACATTTTGTTTGTTTAACCATTCATTACAGTGTAAAAATGACGGCCCGTCCCACCACAGACGATTGTCCTTAAGCGCATCTATATAAAGACCCCTCGACACTAGGTCCGCTGGATTATTATTACCGTCTATATGTAACCATAACAAATCACCTGTTAATTCGTTTATCTCTATTACTCGGTTCTGTACAAAAGGTTTTAATAAATGCGGAGACATACGTAACCAACCCATCACGATTGTCGAGTCAGTCCAGAAGTAACTGCAATTAATTTGTAATCTAAGTGAATTAATTATTTTTTTATATAATCGTGCACCTATTAAAGCGGCGCAGAGTTCTAATTTTGGAATAGTAATTATTTTTAAAGGAGCAACTTTGCTTTTGGCGCATAATAATTTAACTGAAACTACTGAGTCCCTATTTATTGTCCGTATGTATGCACAAGCCCCGTATGCATCTTGTGACGCATCACAAAAAATATGTAACTCTGTACGGCAAGCGTGAGTACATCTTACAAATCGCGGGATTTTTATCTTATGTAAGTGTTGTTGTATAGAATTTATAAATTTAAAAAATAGTTTTGTGACGTCACTAGAAACAGGATCGTCCCAATCGATTTTACATAGCCACAACTTTTGTAAAATAATTTTAGCCACTATTATTGCGGGAGCTAGGAGACCCAGAGGATCGTATATTTGAGATATAACCGACAATATCTTTCGTTTACTTAACGGTTCAGCAGATGTATTCCTCATCTCCAGTTTGGTCGTGAAATGTAGTTCATCGCTTTTATTATACCACCCTAAACCGAGTGTTTACTTTGCGCATGTTCACCTATTGCCAGCTCCTTTGAAGAAAACGTAGCCGTGACGTCATAGTTAAACGTCCATTTACGCAAAGGGTAACAATAACTTTCAAGTATACGCGACGTCTTTGCACAAATATTTAATAACGTTTCAGGGTTGTCATGACCTGTAATTAGGTCATCCACGTAAAAATCGTCATTAATAACGAGCGCGACATTTTCATCATTACATTCTTTAGCAACTTGTTTTAAACAGCGTATACTGAGATATGGCGCTGACGCGGTGCCATATGTCACTGTGTTTAACTGATAAATACCTACAGGATCTGATGGATTTTCTCGCCAGAGTATAAGTTGTAAATGACGCTGATCCGAATGAATTAATGTTTGTCGAAACATTTTTTCAATATCAGCGCACGCTACGAACTGATACTGCCTAAAACGTAATAGGATTGACAATATATCGTTTTGAAGACTGGCTCCTGTATATTGAATGTCGTTTAATGACTTATTTGTTGTCGTAACGCAACTAGCATCAAACACAACTCGTAATTTAGTTGTGGTACTATCCTCACGGAATACCCCGTGATGTGGAAGAAAATAATGTGGCCAACTGTACTTTTTAATTAGGGACATATGACCAAGTTCGCGATATTCCCGCATAAAATCACTGTACATTACTTTATAACGTGGCATTCGCTCTAATCTGCGTTCTAAAGAAATAAATCGTTTATAAGCTGTCGTGTATGAGTCACCTAATAAATCAGCTGATTCCTTTAACGGTATACGAACAGAAAATCTACCATCACATTCGCGTTTTGTTGTGTTGGCAAATATTTCTTCGCACTTACGGTCGTCAAAAGTTAGAATATTCCCTACGTGAGGAATCTCCTCTATTTCCCAAAATTTCCTTAGTTCCAAATCGTTTAAATTCTGTGTAAAATTACACAAAACATTGTTATTATAATGCGGATTATTACAATTAATAGGACCGGATATCAACCATCCCAATTGCGAATTTTGTAAATAAGGACCGCATTTTAATTTAATTTTATTATCGATTAATAATTCCCAAAATATCTCCGCGCCTATTAATAAATCGATTTCGGAGGGTGTATAATAAGTCGGATCGGCCAGTTGAATATTATTCGGAATCGATATGCAACCAACGTCGATACTCACAGACGGTAAGTTTGAAGTGATGCAAGGTAAAACATAACATTTAATATTCGTATAATAATCGTTTAATTTAGATCGTATAGTTAAATCGCATAATTTATTAGAGTGTGAGACCGATTGTCCTACACCTAATATTTGAATAGTGGACTGTATAAAATTCGTATAATTTAATCGTTTACATAACGCTTCGGACATAAAACAATGTTGACTGCCGTTGTCTAAGAGAGCGCGAACCGTGTGTAGTCTGTTATTACTATCGAGTACTTCGACTTGTGCAGTAGATAGCAAAACCGGTCGCGCGGTCAGCTGAGCCCGTGACGTACTCGTGAAGTTGTTATCGCTGCTATGTATATCTATAGGTAGCGATGAATGCAACACAGTAGATGTTGTATGGTGCGTATTATTTACTGCGGAGAGCTCATTATTACTCGGCAACGATTCGCCGTTAGAGTGCACATCGGTGTGCAACAAACTATTATGTTTGCGTTTACATTGCTGGCAAGGGCCAAAGAAACAATCACTGACCGAGTGTCCAGCACGCAAGCAATTACAACAAAGATTGTTATCGTTTACTAATTTAATGCGATCTTTGACAGGTAGATTTAAAAACATACTACATAAGTACAATGCATGATTTGAATTGCACAAAATACAAGATCGTATACGTTTAATAGGCTTACTTTTATTAGCTAAATAACTATGTGTGTGTGTTTGTAACCTTTGAATTTTACTGTCGTGAACATATTTATTATTTAATTTAGTGACATTAGTATTTTTATTCGAATTATTTACGTTTATCATTTCTAATAGATCTGCACGGTTTTTAAGAAAAGTCAACAAATCATCCAGTTTTAATTTACGTTTATTGCAGTCATCATTACGTATATTAGAAATAAGAGAACCTTTGTAATTCTCCCACTCGCGTTCGGTACAAGGATCGAGTTTTGATACTATTAAGTACATTATAAGTGTATCCCATGATTCGGTCGGCTCATCTAACGTCTTTAAAGCGCGTAAATTACGTAATATGCAATCTATTAATTTTCTGATTTGCGAAGGCGACTCTTTATTAATAGATGGCATACAAAATAAAGACTTAACATGGTTGTGTACTAAAAGTCGATCATTTTGAAATCGATTAAGAAGCAATTCCCACGCATGTGTGTAATTTTCAGCTGTGAATTCTAATGCACTGATCACCTGCAATGCACTACCGCTGAGTGACGACCGCAAGTAATGGAATTTTTGTATAGGATCCAAATCAGTACGTTTATGAATCATAGTACAGTAGGAATTTTTGAATTCTAGCCACTGATCATAAAATCCTTCAAAGGATACTAATTTTAGGTCGGGTAATTTTATTTGGGAGCCTTCTCGGTTACGATGTAAATGAGAATCACAACTGTGACTATCATCAACAACCAAAGACTTAGCTACCGCAATGCATCCATAATACTGTTCATCAAAATTCTCACGATATGTTATTTGATTAGAAAGATCATCATCATCTGTTAATTGTTCGATTTTACTTTGAATGTCATCAAAATCTTTATATACCGATTCTAATGTGGATATCCTTAAGTTTAATTCTATTTTAAGAGTTTTATCTAAAGTAATATTATCGAATTTGGATATATATTTTTCAAATGATGTTAATCTAGCCTTTAAAATACCTCTTTGTTTGTTAAGGTTCGAAATACTAGCAGTTTTAAATTCAAAATTACCGTTACTTTTTTTGGATGGAGATCTACTACCACCCTGAATTTCAGACGAAACACGCATTTTTAAAGTATCACCTTTATCTTTATCACTCATTTCGGAAAGTAAATGGAAAATAAAGCGTACTTACAATCGTTTAAGATCACCCCGACCTTTGAACCCTGACTCGGTAATAGCACTGTGACCGCTTTTGCAACTGGAATTTCACACAAATAACACAGTATTAACACAAATAGAATAGTCGTGTAGGAGAGGAATGAACGAATAGGCCTGACCGTATAATCTGAGCTGATTCTTCTTCTCGATATCGTCTTCTTGATACACACCGGCGATCGACTTCCGTGGTATCTTGAAGAATTATTGTAGTCGATTTTATTATTTCTTGATATCTTGAAGTATTATTCCGGCGAAGAAGGTCCAAATGATTGAAATGACCCTTCCTTTCCTCTCGGTATCGTTTATTATTTTTATATTTTATAATTTTGTTACAATGGTACAAACTATGATGTTGCGTTTATTTGAATTGTGTCGAAGTGAAGCCGTTTGTTGCCAACATCACGCCGTTAACTTTATTTGCGCCCAGTCGTCAATAGATGGCGCGAACACATACTTACGTCTAAATAACTAAACTTCCATACTTTACTCATATACATATTTACGTATATAGCATTAGTACGACGTCATAAAATAACCGTTGACTCGATTGATATATATTTCCAATCTCCATCGTATTTAACCTCTATAGAGCTATGCCAGCGTCCCCAAGAGTGGAAATGAATGTTATTTATTCATGTCTATAGGCGACAACGGTCATCACTACTGTGTAAGATTTCTGCTTCCACGCTATTATATAAACAGAACCTTAAACATAAGTATCCTTTGACATTTACTGCGGTACTTTCCTATATTTATATCGTCAATTTATTGACTTCCATATTATGTAAAGAATTTTACCTGACATAAAATATTATCATTAAAAATTATTACAATTATTTCACTCATTTAAAAATGTAACCGACGTCCCATTGTCTTTGTCAATGGGCGTAACAGTTTGCTTCATACTGGCTCATACATAATAGACATAAGGTGGAGTCCACATAACCACACCTTTTATTTATTCTAGCATATAAATTATTCAAAAGCGTAACGATATTATACGATGGGAAGCATGATACAAACTAATTTGAATTAATTTGATGCGTCCCATTTTTTTGGTAGGAAGCATAAAACTTTTACGAAAAAACTCGGTGAGACAAGTTTACCCATATATTTCTGTTGTATTATGCAATGATTTATGTTCACAAATATAAAACAGATGCTTCCTTTGCGCTTTGATTTCCGTTTTTATTTACTGTTCTTTTATATTTAATCTATTTCTTATGATTTCATATGTTATGATCAATTAGATAATAATCGATATGACATTAAATGACATTTTTATAACGAAACCAGAACATATAGGTACTACTAAATTACCAATATTGATGAAAAAAATGTCTAAACTATATTGAAACAAAAGCAGAAATGAAAGCAGTTGCTGTTTTATATCTACATAATGAAATACTAACAATTCTGTCATGAACAAATAAATAAAATACCTGTGATAATGATACTGATGTATGTAATTAATTTCCTCTTGTTCTTCGTTAGTTGGCTTTAATAGCAAATGGTAGTAATAAAAAATATTTTATAAATTCTATTGCACAAAAAATATTTTTATAAGTAAATTATAGTTATGGTAACAGTATTAATTATCCCATGTTTGTTTCTTCGAATACTTGTTATAACTTTTTTCTCCCATATTTAAAAGCGTTCGTGTTTAAATCGAACAAAACTTGCAATTTAAACTTATATCGGTTGTTAAATAATTAAACTTCCTAGAATTAAAATAACAAAACAATTCGCCTCCACCAATTTCTAACGCATACAACACAGATACATTCTAATAAGTGTGATAATACGAAATGATCGATTCTACTTCAATTCAATCTCGTTATGTAGCACTCCCAGACCTAACTTACATGACATATTCCTACAAGCAGCGTCTTGCTCTCTAAAAATTAAATATAATCTTTATGAACTTCATTATTAAGTTGAGAATTGTCTTACAGACTCTACATTGTAATCACTTTGAAGAAATAATTTATGGTTATTATAACCAAACACCGGCTACAGATATACTAACAATCATTTGTTTTCCTAGTCCAGGCTGCTTGTTAAACAAAATTTTGACATGCACCAATCCGTGGGTGTCTTTCTTTCTAAGTGTGTAGGTTTAAAACCACGTGGTCACAATTCTTTTGTTCTCCTTTGCAGCAAGTTTTTTATAAATGGGTTTTGTATGCAAAAATAATTTAGATTCATGTTTCAATTATAGATTTACCAGTTACGTACAACTACCATGTTCTATTGTGTCCAAAACAAATTAGACATACACATTTTGTAAGTAGAAGCCATTATTCACAACTGAATAAATTATACTCAGATCTGATTTAAGGAAAGCTTATTTCAAGGATTCAATTTGATGCGAGTGCCTGCATAAAAAGCTAGTAAGAATGAAATGAGTCACCAGCGATTTGAAATGAAATAAGGTTCGATAACAATTTTAATTGGACAACTTCTAGATCTGCTACCGGAGGTCTTATTACGTTACGTTAAAGTACTGTATTGAATGATTTACAAAACTAAAAGTGGAAGCGAAGATCTTGTTTCTTTGTTGAGGGTCGGACGACCTTTTTTCTCAGTGATCGGTATCAGACCCACTCATCGATGGACCGTCGCGACAATACTATCAACCTCCATACACATCGATATGGTAATGTACCGATGCATTCCATACCTTTGTGTACATATGTTGATGAGGTGGGCGAAACTCTATTGATATCCATTCGAACTCATTGTTAATATTTATTGAGTAGAAGGCAATTTATTCTGGCTCACGATGGGACATCTGATAATGGTTATACATAATAATATTATTACTTTTTTTTAGCCAAATAAAATTTTGTCGGAGCCATGTTTCGAATCTCAAATTGAGTTGGGCATGATACGAGTATGTAACAGATACTCTGTATTCATTAATTAACGTGACGTAAACATTTTTTAGTTTGTAAACATTTTCAATTTTGTTATTGTTCATAAAGTTTTATTCAAATTAAATCCATTTAAACATACATACTTAATTAAATCAAAGTTAGAATATATATTAAACTAGGATAAAAACAAAATGTTTCCCAAAAATAGAATAACAAACATTTTAAGTTCTTGGATGAACTGTACATGTATTCACACACACATTCACTCTTATTATCTCTGACTATTATTACTGTATATAAAAGTGTAAAGAATATACAATACAACATGCAGACTTAACTACAGGATTTAATGCGTTTTCTATAAGTTTAGATCAAAATAAACAATGTCTATAATAAATCCTAATCAAATAATTCATTGTTAACTTTATCCGTAACATTAAACCCCTTAACGCTAACCAAAATGCCACTAACGACCATAAAATTGGTATTTACTCAAATTTAAACTACGCCTTTAATTGATACAAATGGACGTTTCTAGTTAAAGTTAATTGAGGAATACGCAAGGATCAAGTGCATCGGACTCCATAACTCTGGAGTTAATTGTCGTAATGTCAAAGTTAATTAAGCATTCTCAGGAAGCTATGTGGCATTATTATTAGACCACAGAGTAATTATGCATAATGTAAATAATGAGATTTAATTTTCTATTTATTCCGTTAATTCATATATCAGTACATTTTAGCTTAGCTTTTTGCTTCTTTGAAATACATCTGTTGAATATGGATTTCAAAGAAGCAAGTACATATATATACTTGCGTCTTTGAAATACAAGTATATGTACATATATAAAAAAAATATTGTGTTCATACTAGCATACGCTCATTTTCATTATAATTGATCGAACAGTTGAGGTTTGTGAGGAGAAAAGAGATTTCTATGAAGTGAAGAATAATAATTACATTTTTTAAATATTAGTATCTAAGGATTTAACACAAATGGAAATATATAACTTTTAAGCATCTGTGTAGCATAAATTAGTACTTCTGTTTGCGAATGAATCAATTTTACATCAATTAATTGTAAATAAGTGTAAGGACAGAAATCAATGGCAGGTCCTCGGTTTTTCTCTATCTACCCTGTAAGTGGAGTGATTATAGATATATAGAATATTCCTATTAATAAGGGGATGTGGCATATACGTAATGTATTATTAATAATAAACGTAGTAGATATTATTTAGATAGCGTTCTTTGTTTTAATTTTATCCTAAGTTTAAATCAACTATTTGTTAGCGTATAATTCAGTTAAGCACAATATACCTACTATTGATCGTTTAAAACTATAAAAATATTTTATTACTCAGAAAGACGTTTATGCGACATAAAAAAACATGTTTAATAAATATAAGTAGATGTTTCTTTAAATATTTAATAATTATTGAATAGCACATGTAGTTTACAAGTTATTTCGGTGCCGGTATTTGTTAGGATACCGCAAACACCTTGAATCAAGAACCACAGACAAGAGATTAAATTAATAATCTTTATTTTTTTGAAATTGTCCCCAGAGTACTTTCGAAATGTATGTATTATATATATATATATATATATATATAACACAATACTATTTACTTATTCTTCAAGCTAGTTCCAAACACAAATGCATTGTTTGTTTCCATAATATAATAAATGTTTTGTGGATTAAAGTATTTTTGATAATATATATTACAATAATCATATTATTAATTGTATTTATTTAATCCATGTGAAAAGGAATAATTTACTACTAAAACGAGCTTTTCCCCATTTTTATAATTACAATTAGACGTCGACAGAAATACCATCTACGGAACCATTATAGGAGAAATCCGACTCACTCGTGAGTTTTTATAGTAGCAAAATGTACACATGTCCATTTGATTCCATGATCTTATACTTCTATTGGGTAAACATTATGTTTATTATTATCTAATAAAAATCCAATAAAACCGTATATGGGCATTGAAATTTAGAATCATTGTTTTCGATCGTCAAAAACGCTGTAAAAGCATTCTAAATTGGC